ATTTCGGCAAATAAAAAAATAAAAGTTTTTCATTTGCTGCCCACACTTTTTATTTAAGCCAACAAAGAAATCAATAGAAGCTAGTTTTTCGTTTATTTGTGTGTACACGTGTTTGTTAATGCATAACGTAAGCAGAAACTTTTTCAATTTTGAATTTCAAAGCGAAATAAAAAAAAAATGTTAACTTCGGTTGCACCGAAGCTATAATACCCTTCATAAAAAAAAATTTCCCATACAAAAACTTGATTTTCATCGATCAGTTTGTACGGCAGTTAGTTAATGGTCCGATCTGAAAGATTTTTTCTGTGTTTGTAACCGTACCTTAACAAATTTTGATAATCTTGTCAAGTTTTGCATACAAGAACTTCATTTCGATCGGTCAGTTTGTATGGCAGCTATATGCTATAGTATATAGATATCGACGTACACACAGAGCGACATGGCTAAATCAGTTAAACTCGTCACGCTGATCATTTATATAGATACTTTATAGGGTCTCCGACGTTTCTTTCTGGGTGTTACAAATTTTTTAGCAAAAACAAACAAATAACCTATTCAGGGTATAAAAATCAATGCAAACCTGTTTTTAAATAACATTTTTTCCACTCCATTTTAAATTAAACGCCGAATTTGTATGCTGTGTGCTTCTCGATTTTCCGATTAATCTGATTTCGTGGTAATGAGCGGCATAACCGATGCATATTAACAACTTGTCGCCTTCAATTGAAAGCACAAGCACGTTCAATGTTAATAAAATACTCTCCTAATAGCAAGTGCAACCACAATACTTTGCTGAGTGAACTGTGTTTATAATGGATATGCAAATGTATGGTAACGTTTGCGTCCGCGACGCCCTCTAATACAATTTGGATGCTCATAATATGCGCAACAAGGAATAGCAACCGCGACATGAATATTAAATGCGCCTAAAAGCATGCTATGAAATTTATTACAACAGTATGCGACGCACATTGGACACAATTTGTAATAGAAATTGTTCAAAGTTCTTATTTGAGCTTTAAACTTCTAAAAAAAAAGGTGCGAAACTTACGAATTTATGAAAATATTTTTTAATGTGTTCTGTGAACACTTACAAGATGCACTAAACATTATACGAATGCTATGACAGTTTTTTAATAAATATTGTACTTAAGGCCTACAACCTTACTGCTAGATATTTGTGACATCATATCTTTTTTATATCAAGTCTACAGCTGTCTCAGTTATGAAATATGAAAACAGTAATTCGTTCCATATGCCAAGTATAACCACCAATAGACTCATGCTAAAAGATCTGAATCTTTTGGAAAAATGACGTCGAGTAGAGGTCGCAAAAGAGATGCATGAGAACATAGTTAAGGACCCTACATTATTATTACTACTGCTGACGAGACTTGGGTTTATGAATATGTCGTCGAAACTGTTCAAAAATCTAGCGAATGGCGCTCCAAAATGAGGATGAAATCCCAGCCGGGACTTATAGCATTTGTATGGAAGTTTGGAAGAAACGTTGGAATGTATTGGCTTAGGAGCCTATTATGAAGGCAATAATAAATATTTTGTATGAAAGTATAGATTTTTTGTCAGTCCCGGTCAATTTTGATCATACAATGAAGCTTTTACTCGATAGAAAAATGTAATTATTAATTATGTATATCGCTATTATGAATTATGAATTACGGGTTATAAAGTATGAACTACGAATTATGAATTAAGAATTTTGTTTCTGGTTCCATTTTGTAACTATCCTCTTGCCTCATATAATTTTTTTGTAAAGTTCTTATAGAAAAATAGTCCATCACTCATCTGTCATAAGACATCATTCACTGGCTACATGCCATACAAGTATTAGCAAAAGCTAATATCAAGGCTTTTATATGCCATTTGTTATCTTCATTAGTTAAAAATTTAACTATTATATTTAGTGAGGAATTACTATTTAATAAAATAATTTAATATTTAGATTTAATAATTCATATAAATTTAAAACACTCGTTTAGACGTTAACTTCAACAAAATATTTTTAATTTTAGAACTAATTGCATTCTTAACAGTTAAAAATGCTTTAAATTGCAATAAGCACTCATTTTAATTTGTTGCTACTGCAAGTAAAGGTAAATCTTTTTTCCATGGTATAACGCGTCACTCCTAAGTTACCGAATACGCTCTTATTAATAAACGTCTTACCTCAACTTAGGCGCTTAAGAAAAAAACCCAAAGTAAAAGAGGTGTAGTTTGTATCATAGCGGCGGCGCAGAAAAGTATGCAATTGTGCGCTGACAAGAATTAAATTAAATTGTACGAGACCATCTACATATGTACATATATATAGAAATATATGAGCGTGTTGGCATGAAGGTGTAGCGCATGCCAAGAAGTTTAATCTAATGAAGGCATTTAATGATGTCTTCTGCTTAAAACGCCACCAACACAATTGCAATTATAAGGGCTTGTTATTAAAGCTCATCACGAAGTTGTGTGCGACCGCTTGGATACGCATGTGTATATTTGTCTGTCTGTATGCATTTTGGCGCGGCGTTGTTAATCATAATTATTATATTAATAATAATCATAATACAGTAAGTTTATTTTGTCCAATAAAAGACGATATGACAATATAAAATATGACCGAATGAAGGCAACACTAATAACAATAACAGTAACTACAGTATTAAAAGTGACTTCAAGGCAACGCTGGCGGTCTCAGTGTGGCATGACAAGCTTGACAATTAAGACTTACAAGCATAATCATAACAATGCATATTAAGCAGATGTTGCGTACGCTTGCAACATATTTATTTGTGGCATAAATTAATTAATTTTAGTTGTAGCGCTGCGAAGAACTTTGAATAGGATTATTAATCAATAAACGGGGATGCGATTAATCATTTGATCATAATAATTTGGATGTCAAATATTGGTTAAGTTTTTATTAGTGGCTGTAGAGTGCTCTCTGAGTTAGATATGAAGATTTAAACCAATCTTGGTTAATCTCAATTGATAATAGATACTGATATTCGTCGGCGCTTTTTGTCTTACAAATTTTTTGCAGAAATCTTGAAATATTTCACAATCCATCCGTCTTACGCTTTACCGGAGTTTTATATTAAAATTTGAAAATCAAACGTACGGCACAATAATAGGAAATCTGCACTGAGGAGTCAGAATTAGGTGGTACTATAATTCCATGTTCTTAAAAAATATTTAGAGACATTCTTTTGGTATAAAGTAAGCTCCCACAAAGGTTAAATTCTAAAATTTGTTGTATAGATAAAGTTGAGGGCTCTTAGTCTTTGTGGCCATGTTAGATTTCATGAAGTTGCTTTTAGAAAGTACTTTATAGTTAATCTGAAAAAATAATATAAACTGTTTCCAAATTGGTGCAGATGAATATTAGCTACAATACTTTCTTAACAAATTCTTTGGTAAATACACTATAGTGGATATGTAGGACCAAGTTTTTGAGCACTGATATGTCTAGAGTTTTGTTTTTAAAGAAAATATGTTAGCTTTAGTACGAACATATTAAAAGTTTTTTTGGCTGTTTAATCGAAGGAAATTTAACTGTAAATACTCCCTTTTATTTACTTTGTTATTACTCAAAAGTATGTCTCCATCGAATATCCAATTTCATCCTATAATCTCTCTTAATTTCTATTAAAAATTTTCACTTAAATCCTTAACAATAATACACACCGCCACCATAGTCTTTCATCTTTGAGCATTTCAAGCGAGAGGGATAACAAACAGCACAACAGCGAGAAAAGCTAATAAATCCGCTTAGTGAAAGTGAAAGTAATGGCGACGTAGAAACTCTCACATAAAATGAAAAAAAACATGGAGGGCACATAAAAATAAACAAACTGAAATGAAAGCAAGTAATGGAGAAGCACTAAAAAGTCGGTGGGATTAGTGGCTTTGGCGTAAATTGTTGAGAAATAAATACGGTCGGCCTTTAGTCGGTCGACAATTGTGCTGTCTGCTGTAAGGTTTCATAGCATAGTGTCAACGCGTTTAAATCATGGGAAAAGGACAAGCCGTTAGGGTTTATCTCGCCGTAATATTTATAGTGACAAGTTGGCAATGCTTGGGAGTATAGCACATACATATGTAAAGTACTGTTATTAATATGTATATCTATATTTTTAAATAGATATTGTGGGGTTTGAATTTTTTTACCCTACATGCGAGAAATGTCACTGGCAACTAGAAGGCATTCAATTTCTAGCAAAAATGCACCCTGTATAATCAAGCGGAAATTTGTAGTATTTTTCCAACGTTGAGTGCATTAAATGACTAAAAAAAATAGTGGATTAAAGGGTTTAAGCTTGAAAGATTTATTTGCGGTTATCATAAATACTCTTAAATGAATTGCGGGGAACCCCAATAAGAGTGTGATTTATTTACACGCATTATAAAGTAGTTTGACAGCTATTAATTTGATGAAGAATATAAAATTCGCAGTACCTGCTAATTTGTGATGAAAGAGTTTCAAATTATATAGTGATTGGAAGTGTAGTTCAATGGTCTTGAATAGTGGTTGCCTGTTTCATTTCAAAGATCGCAATATGTCTATTTGAAAGAGAGCAAGCTCAATGCTCAGAAATTCATAATAATCCCATAATGTTTTCACACCAAGAAGAATAATTCTAACCTAAAAATTGACACTTGACTTAATTGTTTAAATATGTTATTTGGAGTCTTTTGATGTAAGACATTACCTGTCCGGGAACCGCAAAATTTTTCGAATGTACATTGTGCAGCAAGCTCATAATACCACACATATTCAAAGGGATCTCAGTGATCACTAAATTCATAAGATCCCTTATAGGGACTCAGAAAAAACATCGCTATAATAAAACAGAAAATTATATAGATCTAGTAGTACTATTGCTTAAAAAAACAAAATGCTTCCGACATTCCACTTAAGCCTTCCGGAAATCTTTACTGCTAACCGTAGTTCAATAAATACATTTATAATTTGTATAGATTAAACTTACCACACCGACTGAGAAGTAATTGTTGATGATATTATATGGCACTGTGCAATCTTTTTCCGGCTGCACCTTAATCTGTTTGGGGAGACATATAACAGCTTGACTTTTAGCTGCTGCACTGCCGGACGAATTCAATGCGGACGGTGTTGAAGGTTCTGCATCTGCTGCTAATGTTTCCGGCTCAGGTACGGCGACGGGAGGAGATTGCGTAGGAGAATATTTGGGCGATGCCGAATAGATCGGTAATGGCGATGTCGGTGACAATGGCGTGCTTGGCACTGTCGACCTGTCAACGGCAGTCGATACCTCTGCCGCAACTGCGAGCTCAACCTCGTTGCTAATGGGTACAATGGGGGCAGTGGTATCAAGTGTGGTGGTAACGGTGTTCGCTTTCCTTGATGCAGTGCTGAGTGCAACATTTTCCATTTCTGTTGGTGCTGATATGCTTTTCGCGCTAGGAGGTGCCTGTAATTGTTCTGTCGCAGCCGTTGCTTCTACTTCGCTCTTTTCCTCACCTACCGGATTATTTGGAATGTCTGTTGCCACCGCAGGCGCGTGTATTGAATGGTGTTCGGTGCGATTCACACCACTATTGTTCGTTTTATCGTTGTCATTGTTGTTGTTGCTACCATCATCAATTGCATCGCCGTGGACGCTTTTAGCCATTTCCGGCGTTTGCGGTGTGCCAGGTGATTGCAAGTCTTCTGATTGCGTTCGTTCACGTCGTTCCCTTTGGCGCTCTTGTTCCTCGTGCTGCTGTTGCTGCTTTTGTTGTCTAATAATTGTGCTCGTACTGCTGCAACTGCTGCTACTATTGCTGAGTGTTGTGAGCGTGCGTTTCGTTTCGAATGTCGACATTGATATGCTTTTAGTTGCGCGGCCCACGTTGCCACCTCCACCTCCACTACCACCACCGTCACCATTGCCCGCAATACCACCACCCGCAATACCACCACCCGCACCGCCGACACTCGTACCCCGCATGCCGCCGCCAACCGCATCGTTTGCATATTCGGTTGCTGTGGTAATCGACGAACTCATCGATGACGTGGATGCCGTTGTGGTCATGTGCTCCTGTTTGCTGCTGCTGCTGCACATGTTCGTGCAAACGCTGGTGCTGCGGTGGAACTCCTCGAATTTCTCGAAAAGCGCCTTTTCGACCACAACACTCTGCGATAGCTCAATCACTTTCTGCATATTCGAGTGGAGCGTGACCTGTGTGTGAAGGAGTGAGACGATTATATGTAAGCGAGCATTCATAATAGTGTGGTGAAGCATTGAAAGGAACTCAAAAAACCATTTGTGGCACAGTATACGAGTTGTTCATAAATAAATACAGGCACCAGTGTGTTGTTAAGCAATAATAAAGAGTTTCAAATAAAAAGGTATTTGAAAACCATAAATTTATATAAAATGATTTGGCACATATAGATGGACTAATGCAATGTTGGAAGTTAAAAGGAATCAAAAAATTATTCATTTTAAATAACCCAAGAGTATTTTGTTTATACACTTGCAACAGGTTGCTACAGAATATAATAGTTTTGTTCACCTAACGATTGTTTGTATCACCTAAAAATAATCGAGTTAGATATGGAGTTATTTGTATATAAATTATTTGGAAGACGAGACGAATTAAAATCCGAATGCTTGTCTGTCCGTCTGAGTAAAAATTGAGATATTGTAATGGCTAATGTGGGCGTATCGGCGAATGTGTGCGTTATCTTAATTAAAATGGATAAAAGATTGTGACACACACTGGCTTTAGATCGGTCAGTTTATATGACTACTACTATTATATGCAAAATCGTCATTGACCCCATAAAATGAACTACGGTTGTTGACTTGGCTAAATGTAAACAAAGATTGCGGACTTGGCTAATTGTAAACAAGAGGGTCTTTGTCCACGGCAAAATGAAAAACAAAAGGGTCATTGACCTAAGAAGATATAAATAATATAACATGTGGGATTTTTTAGTTTTGGTACACCTGAAGGTTCGCTTGCACCTGAAGTCAGACCTTCCCTACTTGTTTATTACTTGCTATTTATTTCTTAATATTTCCAATAATCATTATCTTTTCTGCCAGCGCATATGAGTAGCTTAGAATTAGCTGATCCCACGTGGCGTATGAGTTATATGTAATCGAGTAATCTCTTTTACACTCACTTACACACTTTGCCGTTTAAGTAAATCGGAATTTGTCCTTTGCGGAATTGCAAAAAGATTAGCTAAATTCAATCGGTTATAATTGCTTTGAGTTTGCAATCCATTTTAATCTATTTTCTAGTTATTTCTTCTGCTGGCAAAGCTTTGGGTCAACAGGGTGTATCACTTGTATATATGAGTATGGTAGCAAATTAACTTAAAATTGCCAGAAGCTCACTTTATGCAACAAAACGCAACGAATAAAAATATATTAAAAGGAAAAAGACTAGAAAACATTCGAATTGCATCATCGAATTGAATTTTATTTTTGCAGCATTTTTTTTTTGAGTTTTTGCGCTTTGCGTTACAAAAACTTTTGAATGGAGTGTATGCTAGTAGAGATGAAAGAGTTAACGGCACAAACAATATTTGTAATAGCATTTAAATCGAACTTTTGAGGGGTGTAAAACGATTACGATAGGTGTGCGAAAAAAGTGGCGGAGGTACATGAAGAGAGGTAGCTGAAGAGTGAACTAAAGTACGAAAGCAATTGAAAGCAGAGCTTATATTGTAGTTGACGCGTGCAGTTCTTGGTTGCTGTGATCAAATGGCTTTCGTACTAATTGGATTTTGGCAAGTGGCAAGCAATCACTTCAGCTAGATTCGAGCGATGCCACAGTGAAAGTGTGCACCAAAAAAGTCGATTGAGTCAAAGATGATTTCAATTAAAATGTCAGTAGGACATTGAAAAGTGCGAGCTAAGTGAGAAAAAAGGAAAGTAAATGTACAAAGTGACGAAAAAATGTGCTAAGCGTGATTGCTTGTGTGACAACCTGGCATATGAGTGATTTTTTGAGATACAGTTGAGTGCTAACAGCCAATGGGATTAATGAAGTTGTTTTCTAATTATATTGCCATTAAAAGTAGTTATATTTATTTTTTGTTTCCCCTCAAATTTGCTACATTTTATTTCGATTTGATACACATTTTCTCACCACTCACCTTTGGTCGCAGTATTTCCGCCACAGGCGCCGCATTCGTCACCTCAATACTCCAACGATCCAGCATTACAATGGATGAGCGTTTAATTTTGTCCATTAGCTTGGGTATATTTTCACCCTCATAGCCGCCACCCCAACGCAGACAGCGCGCCAAATCGTTGCCAGTGCCTAATGGTATGACGCCAATGGCTGGTTGCGTGGCAAGTTCAATGGAATCTAAGTAAATGGAGTAGAAAAAAAAAAAATTGCATGAAAAAAATTTGGCAAAACTTTGTTTGTAATTTTTTTCTTCCTGGCAGGTCTCTAAAATAACATTCAAAAAGCTCAAAAAGTCATTAGTCTGTGTATTTGTTTTTTCGTGCAACTTAATACTCGACTCTACAAAGAGTGGAAATTTTCATTATTTTTTTGGATTTAACAATTTTTTACTCACCCATCGCTTCGAGTACCCAACCAACAGTACCGTCACCACCACAGCAAATCACTTTGAAGTTCGGCATGTCTTTGAATAACGTTAAACCTGAAGAAATAGTGATATATAGAGCAAAAGTTTATATATTTAATATTTATTACTTTATTATTAAAACTTCTTGCTTACCTTCCTTCGGTCCACCTTTCGAGAGATCATACACCTGCCTCGGATTGAGCATATATTGAAATTTTCGCAATATACGATCACCTTGGCGTCCGCCACTTTTCGGATTCACAAATACCAACAATGGGCAGCTGCTCTCATTTGGCGGCGTAATTTGAAAATGCGTGGCCTGATGATTGATTTGCGATTTCTTATATTAGCAACAATTATTTTACAAACATTTATATATATTTATAGATAATGCAAGTAATTTCTCAAAGCAAAAATATTTTAATAATTTTCATTTAATTGTGGACGAACACATTTAGTTGATTGATTTGTTAGGTGATATGCCAATTGGAGTGGTTTTGCAGGCATGATGAGTGCACAGACGCGGTGGCGTATGAGTAATTTTTGAAATTTGTGGTTGCCAATTATATTTTTGCGGTGGAATGTAATTAAAAATATTGCGTGGGAAGAGGAATGGAAAAGACAAACAATGTGTATGAATTAATTTTAAATTTGGTGAAGTTTCGGTGAATACGTTGATAATTGATGTACATATGTATGTATATATTTTTTGCTAAATATTGTAGGTTGGATTAATAAATAATAATAATTAAGATCGCAAAATAAAACTTATTTAGAAAAAATTTTAAAGTTTACTTAACTTAGATTAACTCAACTTAAATTTAATGGATATTTATTGAATTACATATAAATAATTATTTTAGCTTAATTTAAATTAACTTACTTTTAAGTTAATTAAGTTATTTTAACGTAGTTAAGTTAACTAACAAAAAAAATATGCTTAAATCAATTCAAATTCCAATTCAATGAAAATAAATCTAATAGGAGGATATTTCTTTAACATAACTTCTTTTATATTAAATTTGTTTATGTTAACTTAGGCTGACTTAAGTATATAAAACGAAATAATAAGATATTGATTTACCTTAACTTAACATAGTTTACCATAACATTACTAACATTAATTTAATTAAATCAAACAAGAAGAAATTTAACATATGTACATACCTCCATACACATGTGTTTGTAATATACTAAATTAAAATAATTTTAAGATAACTTTACTTGACTTAAAATAAAATTTAATAAGATTGTATTAATTTGACTTAACTTAGCACAGCTTAACTAAACTTGACTTCACATAACTTAACTTCACTTAACATGACTTAACTTAACTTCACATAACTTTACTTAACTTCACATAACTTTACTTAACTTAACATGACTTAACTTAACATAACCAAACCAAACTAAACTTAACTTAACTTAACATAATTTAAATTAAACAAAACCAAATCAAATTTAATTAGAGTGAACTAAATTAAGTAAACTAATTAAATGAAACTAATCGATATTAAACTGCTTTGGGCAATAAATTGTTAAAAATGGAATTTTTTCTAAATTATCTACAAACATAAAAATAATAAAAGATGCACAAATACATACACAAAAACAAAAAATGTTTACCAACAAAACTTAACCCATAATTAACTTACTTTATTCGCTTGATTAACCGAGCGCTGGCGATCCAAGACCGCCGGACAGATGGCCGTTGGCGGTATAATTAAATCCGCATATTCGCCTAAAGTACATTCTTTTTTCACCGACGAGGCACAGCGATTGTGAAGCTAAAAAAATAGATTATGCAACAGCAAATTAGATAATTTCACAGATTTCAAACGAGAGAGCGTGGAAGTAAAACAAAAATAAATGCGTAAGACGCGAAATTGAAAAACAAGCGACTTGAGAAAGAAAATATTTTAAGACTTTAAAGATAACAGATAACCATATTTCTAACGACATTTTCAAATTAGCATAAGTTTCCATCCAGCTGTCGAAATGTGACACATTCGCTTAAGTAGCTGCACGAGCTAACTATAGAAGACGTCGTGCTTTTGTTTTTTTACATTCTTCTTTACATCGGCTGTGCGCTTTTGGCGTTAATAATTGAACACGTGTCGTCTGCAACGTGAGCGTTGAATATAACTATACAAACTTATACACATACACATAACGGTATTTATCTGTTTGTAAACAACTACATGCACAAGAATATCCACGCTGACGGAGCGAAAAGCAAGACATGGCCACGTAAGATCAAATGCGTAATTTTGGACGGGGTAAGAGCTAACTAGAGATTCTTAACAAGTACAGTTTTGTCATTTATCATTTATTTCTTTCTACTGGCATACAAAAAATAATTAAAATTACTTGAGATCTATTGCTTTTATATTGGGCACAAAATTTCTCAGCTAATTAATTAGATTAGTATCTCGTTAGTGTAAAATATACAAGTGCTGTACGCATCAAGACTGTTCTAATTTCGTTTAAATTGCAATATTTGTGTGAAATATTTGTATGCTTGCAAGCGGGTGTGGTTAGGCATTTTCGAACTAAGTAGAGAAACAGCTTTTAAATGAAAATAGAAATTGCATAGCAGTAACATTTAAGTGCAGACAAAGCGAATTTATGTAAGTAATTTTAATGTCCTTTCATATCATAATTAAGATACTAACAATCTTAATTTTGATTAATCGTTTTTCGAGTCTGGGATCACGTTTGGCAGATTAGTTGCTTTAAAAAGTGAGAAACCAAACTTTAAAATATGATATAGTCAATCGAATTTTGCCATTCTTCTAAAGTTTTGACTAACTGTCAAACCGCAATTCACTCGAAGTGATGGTAACGATCATTAAAGAAGTGCTTGTCATTGATTATGATTTTCTTGTCATACGAATAGATAGCCTCACCTGAGATCTAATTCGATTACCAGGCGACAATCCCATCTTTTTTCTCTCGATAGTTGCAGATATTAAGTTTAGTATCAAGGGTACTTAATTTGCTATGTAGCTCAAAATCTCATTGGTGCTTCTCTCTTTGTAAAAGGATATTTGGAGGCTTAGTGAATGTTGGAGTACCATGTTTTCATATAAGGTTATACGATCTTTGCTCTCACGAACAGACAAGTGGTGTTGACTAGCAGATGTTAAAATTCACGAGACCTCATCTCTTAGTGCTAGTGATAGTGTGAGTGGGTTATTGTCCCATTGGGACTCATGCAGTACATCTAACCATCTTAAATATGAATCTTTTCGCTTGAAAATTTTTATGTTTATAATTTTCTTACGAAAAGTTCGGTCTTATGTAGTTGAGTTTCAAATATTTCGAAATATGAATTATATTTTTTCGTTAATCGGGCTGTACATTTTACCTATGAAACTTACATAACCTAACCTTAACTAACTTACTCTATTTAATTTACATTGCGAAAGCGGATCTGCTTGGTTGAAAAAGGAGGCGTTGAAGCACCTGACCACATTCGATATAGATGGGAAGTTAGATGGAATGGACGGTGGACATTCCGACTGATCCCCAACATTCAGTCACCACATGGCGAGTTAGATTTTTACTTGACCCAAATTCTCACAGAACACGGTATTTATCTGTTAGGCTATTTTAAAACTTATTTGAAACGGTTCTAATATGAGAGTGATGATATATGCCACGGTTGCGGAGACGATACAATTGAGAATGTAGACCATACGTTGTACCACGGTCCGCAATATGAGCAAGAAAGGCGATGCCTAAAGAATGTTTTTGATATACACCCAACCCCTAAATACCTAATATAACATGTGGTTAAATCCAAGGATATGTATAAATAACCCCAAAAATCATGAAAAGCCAAAGCGCCCGAGAACAGCAGAGGAGAAGAGAACTCTAAAATTAAATGGACCACTGCGACGCTAATCAAACGAACTTATAATAAATTGAGTGGAGCATACGGGAAGGGCGGTAAACATTGGACGGGGCGGGTTCAGAGACCAACAGAGGTGAGGTTAAGTAAACACAATTTGTCATTCAATGCATTCAGATCATTAGAAACGTATGAGCAGTGCTCAAACCTTTTCTCGACGTAATACTTGACGGTGGCACCAGGGGATCGGTACATGGCGGTAATAGTTTTAACTCGGTTTAAAGTTCAAGATTTCGATGCTTCCTCTTCGTAAAAAAAATAAACGTCTCGTCATCAATAATATTGCGTTTGATAAATGTAAGGTCCTCATCTGCGCTGTCAAGTAACTCTTTTGTGACCCCTAATCGCCGTATTTTTTGTACATCTGGTCTTTTGGTAGGAGTCTTAACACGCATCCAAAACCGGGGTGTTCATAATTTAATCGCGTCAAACTCCTTTCTAAAATATTTACCAAAATGTGTTCAGTCTTTTCATAAGAGATGTAGCAATCCTCTGCTATCTCTCTGATATTCTTGTTCTTAGGGAGAGAGGTATGATATAAGACTTGTGCAATTATTTTAAATATATCATTTAAAGTATATTTTATATTCAGATTAGTGTAATGAATCTGCAATTTTTAAGAATTTTCTAATTTCCAACTAAATGTTAAATTTTTCCCATTTTTCCCACTTATCGGGGTGCTGTATAGAAAATTGAAGCGTAAATCAATTAACAAGCAAAGCCACAAGTGGCGCCACAAGCAATTGCACAGTTTGAAATTACTAAATTTATGCCATATTATTGTATTATCATTTGCGTGACATACGCTAATACCTAACATAAGCCCGACAAAAACAAAAACAACAACAAAATAACATTTACTCACTTTGCTGCAGTGTTGCAATTTCGCAAATAAAATAAACAAATAACAAAAACAGCAGCAATTGCGACAACAGATATAATAGACAAGTGACACGACGCTGAGGGAAGTTAGAGGTAAGTGGAGAGGGTCTGAAAAGCAAATGCACATTGCAAACCAGCACAGTTAAGTGTTATTGGCGCATTGCATGTCAAATTAAAATTGCGAATTGTGTCAATAAAGTTGGAACACACCCACATACACATACATATATATTGCTGAAAATATGGTGGCTTTGCAGACCGTCAGCTCGCCGCATAAATACATTACATATACATAAACAAACATATGTAACACTGAACGAGCGCATGCGCGCTTTTATACCGTGAACATATGCAAATTCCTGCATAAATATGTATGTAAATGCGATAAACAAATGCAAACATAAAAGAGGTGTCACAAAACGACTAACGAATTTCCCAACCAAGCCAAGGCAAATGACTTTGATTGGCAGCGTGGGAATGCCGTGGCAGCGCTGGCGTGGCGGAAGCTCTACGCTCAAATGCCGCAGCGCTGCAATGCGCTGCTAAGCGAAGATACCGTCATTGAGTGGTTTGTGCTCCAGCTAAGGTGCGACAGACACGTACCACAGTGCAGCGCACGTGACAGGTGCTGCGTAACGACTTGAGTTGCAGCTGGCGGGGGTATATGAAAATTATGGAGACACATACCGGATGGCATTTTAAATGGAAAATTCTCACGAAAATTGTGCATTTTATTTCGAGTTATTGCGGGACGGGGGTAAATCGATTGGTTTTCAAAGTGCGTAGCAAACAGAAATACTTTATTTAAGCTGTGCTGATTTATTGTACTAAATGTAAAGTATTGTTATCTATAAAATAAATTAAGTTTTGAGCTTTGTAGTTATTTAAGTATAAACTTCGTTTTCTGAGTTCACAATTTTGTAGGGACATTTTTATACAATAATCTTTTACAATTTTCTAAAATTATTTTAATTCATCTCGTTGAGTTCTATATACTATATAAAATATTTATACACTTTTTCTTGAAATCAATCGTTAATAATTATTAATTTTGTTTTCTTAAGTATTTTGAATCTTATAATACCAATTTTGCAGATTTTTAATACTTATTTTTGATTTAAATCAGATGTGAACGTCATTTTGTAATAATACCTTTTAAACATCATTGACATCTTTAGTATACGCTTAGGAGCCAAACTGTTTTTAAATATCTAAGTTTGTATTCTCCACTATTTACCATACATATTTATATTAGTATGACGAATTTTCAGTTGAATAAGTACAATACTCAGATACCCAGAACAGGGTATATTAAGGTTACAACGAGTAAAGCGATTTTACGCTACCACATTTGTAGGACGATTTCTCTTTCTCATCAAAATAGGCCTCAGCGATTATTTCATCGCTCATTGCTGCCAATTTATACACGATGGTTGTAAGGTATACTAAATAAAAATCATTTGGAAGAAATTGTTGCAACTATGCATTTATGCGTCATCCTATGGACCTTTTGAAATTAGTGTTAAATGATCAGCGTGATGAGCTGAGGCGTTTTTGCCGAACTAGACTCTTAGTTTTTGAATAATCGATTCAATTTCACAAGTTTTTCTCCCAAGAAGCTGCTCATTTCTCGAAATCGTCGATATCGGACCATTATAGGATATTGCTGCCATGCAAACTTAATATCAAAATCAAGTTTTGTATGGAAACCTTTATTATTTCACAGAAAATTTTAAAGTTTGGCACATATTGCCCCGCAGCGGTACATCAACCGATTGTTAAGATTGGCCAATATAGAGGTATGTAGCTGCCTTCTCACTGACTGACCAACATCAAGATACAAGTCTGCGTTAAAAATATTTTTCTTTATTGAGTAACCTTAATTCGATTTGTATGTTTTAAAACCAAAACTCCACTAAAAGATTTTAGATTAAATTTTATTAAATATATTTTCTTCAATAGTCCTAAATATTTCCCAAATTGTAACGATTTTAAATTTTCCAGGAAAATACTTTGAGTGATTCAAATACCAAATTTGTAACCGTAGTTTTTGCATGTGACAATTGCTTTCAAAATTTTTACTTTTATTTATCTTATCTATAATTTAATTGAAGTTGTCTGACACCACACTCTGGTTTGTTCAGTACAATTGTCTTACTATCAAACGTCTTAATGCAAAATTGCAATTTCAAACCTTATATCCCATAACTACTCAAACACTACCCACAAATGCAACGATTTTGATACAAATCTGAATGGCATACTTATCGATGGTAATTAACCTTTGTAAGTAGATTGTTATGTTCCACACATGTCTCAACAATGATATGCAGACGTTATGTAATGAATTTGTGAGGATAAGACTGAAATTTTATATTTTTGAAATGCTGACGATAAAGTTTAGTCCTGATTTAATAGAAATGGTTTCCAAAAATTAGAAAGACTCATCTATATCCTATATTTATATCAAATTTATGTTGTAATAGTCTTTATAGATTAGACATGAATTCGAAGAATTTGAAAATCTGGAGAAATCTTAACTACTTCAACTTTCCTTCAACATTAGTCAATAAAGAAACTAGTCAATTAGATCTACGGAATATATATGCAAAAAGACTGTTTGTGTTTAGTGAAATATCTAAATCTGAAATATCTAAATCTAAAGTAACCAGCGACCCGGATTTTTATTCGCAAGGACTCATCAACTCGGACCATTCCTCGAGATTACTACAGAAATGTTTTCAGCAGCACAACAACAATAACACTTGTATTAAATAGTGAAACTGTTGTGTATAATATGTGTCAGTCCGGGTCAAATATCAGATGTTATCAAATTATATATATAAATGAGGGTGAATATTTTTCAAAATATAATACTTAATTTCGATCAACAGAACTTGCACGAATCTGGGTGTCCAAACGTTTATTTCTTGTGAGATATTTTCAACCACTTAATATGAGTAAAGGTTTAAACTACCTGTTCAATGATTATTTAGCCGAAAATGAAATTATCTGTTGACAAACCAATATATCAGCAATTGTGGCCCATAGTTTTAAAATTAAAAATATTAATAGCTTTTGATCTTAGGGAACACAAGCGAGAAATTTAGACTCTAGATCTTTTGAGACCAGCCGATTGCCGCAGCTAAAACGAATAAACATTGTATTTAAATGTCTAAATCATCCTGTAATAAGCTGCTTTGACTTCAACCACTTAACTCTATTTATACTGCTAAGTTTTCAAACAATAACCTCCATTATTATTAAGAAAACATGCTGAGGTGCAAAATTTTCCGCAAAAGCTTAATATACCCTCTTCTAAACATATGCACTCATATCTACGGATAATGTACTCTGAAACTCAAGCTAAAGTCTACCGATGCAGTTAACTGCCATGTATATAATGTAACGAAGCTTTTGCACGCACGTACTTGAATTAGCAGGTTCAAACAGTTTGTATGTGAGGCTTCTGTTTATATATGTTTGACGATTAAGGAAGCTACTTATACTTAACTGTGCGTAAAATATCTATTATTCCTACATTCATCCATATATTGTATGTATGTGTGCTGAAACCAACTTTCCTAATCTAATTTAAGACAGCAACTTCAGCAGCTTATATGTATGTGTGACTAAGTATTGAATATATATTTCCTAACGGATAAAGGAACACACCTAAGAACAGTACAGCTCGTTCAAGGAAAGGAAAGTCATAAACTATTGCAGCTCAATATCTCTTCTGCTTCCCAGCTTTCTCCCACATTTATACATGATTTCAAATTGATTGTTATCACTCAGAGCAGCAAAAATAACGATAAATTTAATATTTCTACATAACATAGCTACTACTTACCATCATGTGGCACCAGCGACACGTCAAACCGGTGATGCCGTGATATGCCTTAATGCGTTTGCGACACTTGAGCAGCGGCGAGCACTACATCGACCCAGTGGTGTAACATGTCGCCGCCGCCTTTGGCTTTTTGTTTCACGAGGTGGTGATGCAGGAGGGCGGTGCACGTGCACGCAACGTCTGTGCACCGTATATTGCATACCGTATTTTGCATATTGTTGTAGGTTTTTGTATTATGTTGGTCATAATCAGCAGTTGCACCGTTGACATCATCAGCAGAGCGATAGACGTTCATAATAATTTCGTGTTGTTGTTTTTATTTTATTTATTGCATTCGAAAGCGTGTTGTAAGACCAGCGTCCGTAAAATTGGTTTGCGTTTGCGTAGAGAGAGAGGAGAAGAGAAATATAAACACATGTCAACAACATTTGTTAATTGCAAATTCGTGTCAACTCGAAAAGTTTTGCTATTCCATTTGGGTATTTGCGGTTCAGCTATCACTTAAGTGTGTGTGTGTGCGTGTTGTGTATGCATGTGATACTTACATGCGTTTACATAAGTTCATTCGATTGACTTTAATGGCTAATTTATGCAAATGCACGCAATAGAATTTTGTTGGCTGAAAATTTTCATTTCAAGTAGCTATTTACTGTTACTATACTATATCATATTACGTTTATGGAGACTTTCGTTTTAATAGTTTATTTTTATTTATTTAAATTAATTTTAAAATTTAAATTTTTGATCGTAAGGTACTTCTCTCAGATTTAATTTAAAAACTTTTTTGCTTATTATCAAATAAATTGTTCAGAATATGTATAAGTCCAATATCGGGACTTGCTTATAATAATATCGGGATCCCGAAATTTTCGTCAACTTGCGACTTACCCTGATTCAATAATAACATACAAGTGTATTTAGTCGCATTAATCACATTTAACATTAGCATAAATTTTACAGAAGTAAAATATCATACGTATATGTAAAGTTTGCTTAAAAACAAAACGATTAACTTCGTTTGCACCACGGCTATATACCCTCTGCAAACAAAATTTTCCATACAAGATTTGCATCAGTCAGTTTGTATGCCATCTACATGCTAACGTATAGTGGTCCAATATCGGCTAGTCTGACAAATTAACAGCTTTTGAGTGAGAAAAGCACATATTGATATCTCAAAAGCTGAGAGACTAGTTTGCGTGTATACAGACATACAGATGGACATAAACGACTCAGCTCGTCACACGATCATTTATACATATACTGTACAGGTTCTCGACGGTTTCTTCTGTGATTAACAAAGTTCTGACAAACTTAATGTAATCTGTTTAGAATATAAACAAGGATAGTAAAATAAATATTTTCATAAGCGATTGTAGTATGTGTAATCGATTTTGAGCCAAAAGATATAAACCCGAGCTTGCGAGATTTTAATTATAGCTAGATTAGAAAGATTAGATTTCTATTTAGATGTTATTGTAAGATAAGTATTGGAGAACTCCTCACTGTGCAATTCTATAGAATTCAGAAGTTTAAAAATCATATATGACTGCCATATATGTAAGTATATAGAAAACTAACAACACATTGGTAGACATTTTTCAATTGATCAAAGGAAATTATTATTTGTCTAGTCAGCTTGGCTGGACATATTATGTGCCAAATGTTTTCGATGTCGACACTTCATATTAGAAAATAGATGAACAAAACAAAACTCCGTTGGTTGTTGTGTGAATTAAAATACTCTCAAACTCTGGGTTGAGAGTGATTTCGGTGATAAAATCCAGTACGTTCCGGTTTAAGTCTTTATTTTGGGAAGTAAGTCGTTAGTAGTTTGACGGTCAATAAACTGATGAAAAAGCTTACTTCGTTCTTATAAATCGCTTAGATTCCTTCTAGCGAGTAACCAATTTTTCGTAAATTTATTGTATATTTTCTCGAAGACCTATAGACTCAATTGCTAACCATGGTGTTCTTAAAATGTTTAGAAGTCTTTAGTTAAAATTTCATTAAATCTTTTAAAATCAACGAAATTTCATGAAACATTTGTTGGCTCTCCTAACTGGTATATGGAGGAAACGTGAGTAAACTTAAAATAACATTTCTTAGTTTTCAGTTTGGCTTATTACTTAATTTAAAATGAATTAGTAAGAAACTTTAAAAGTTTGTTAAGAGCCACAAATACTTTCATTATTTTTGAACTATGAATAATGCGTCGGATCCTATTTATATATCTCTGATTTGATTTGATTACTAAAAGTTTGTCGCAAACGTAGTGAAGATAACATTTTCAGTCTGAACAATTGACCTGACTGTCATAAGAAGCTACATTTTCACGTATTTTGATACAAAACTTTATTATCGCCGTTAAAATAGGCTCTGAGAAATTGCAAATGATCCAAATTTTCATACGCTTGTAATTAGTTTCGGCTGGTTTGACCTTCAGCAAGTTTTGTTTTCTTCGGTTTTCTTGAACAGTTTTGTCAGCAATGATGAGTTTAATGAATATAGGGTCCTCAGTTTGGTTGTTCACCTACCTTTTGCGACCTCATGACGGTTTCTAAGATTCAGTGTCTTTGGTACAAGTCTAGCATTGACACGTTTAAACCAAAACATTGATCAAAATATGATGACTCGATACTTAAGAGTTGTTGGAATACTTTGTAATCTCTTTGATGAGGACTTAAACAACTGTTTCACAACATTTTATCGATTTTAAATGAACTGGACGGATAAAATTTCATACATGGAAATGTCAAACAAATATGTTTATTTGATCCAAAAATTGTATACCTTCAAAACACCCTATTATCAGTTAGCATAACAATGACGCTTGATTTTAAATGATCATAACCATCCAACTAAAATACTTAAATTCAATGTAGTCACAATTATGATTGATACGAACAATGTTAGCAATGCTTATTTATTGAACAAAATAGTTCTTGATTAGCAAAATAATTGATTTAGCTAAAATAACAATACTATTCAATGTAATTTTCTGAATTGGTACTAAACAAACTTAACTGAAATGCTGTATTACTGTTATATTACATTTAACTACATTTAGTTTTAATTACATGTTGTTAGTGGTGAATAGTGGAAATTAATTCAAATTGTACTTGACTAACGAACTTATTTTGCTTATGCAAATGCGCTTCGATGTAAAATCATTAGCCTAAATTTGAGTTATTTTCCTTCGCTTGTGGAGTATGTAAATGCGCATGAATCAATTTCTTGAAGCACAGATCGCCGATTTCCGACAAATGTAATGCACTCGACCGTCAAACAAATATGCGCCAACAAACGCATGAACGCACGCACACACACACACCACATTACGTAAGTGCGTTTGCAGTTGTGTATTTGGAAAATGTAAATTTAAATAAATACCCATCTAACGCTCACTTCCATAAGGCACCCAGTGCATTAACTTTTCACTTACAGAGTTATTTGAATTTCCGGCGTTAAAATGAACTTCATCAGAACCGGAAATGCACTAAGACATGCAACAAACATCACATACAGCCTATAAATATAGCAGCTATAGGATAGATGTGTCAAAGTGGTTGTACTTCACACACAGAGAACTTTTGCCAAGGCCGACCAACATATTCAGGCAGAGATTACAATATGCCGGCTTGCTGAAATGTTTTAAGCGCCACACATGAATGCCATCCTTCAGTGCCGTATTGTCAACGCCTGCAATCAGAGCATACAGAAAAATTTAAATAAATATATATAGCATTGCAAATGGGAAAAGTTACACCACACAGAATGATTGAAAGCGTAAACGAGCGTAATGGCAATATGTAAATAGAGCATGTAAGCGAAATAGCGAGGCAATCAAATTTATTTATATGTATGAATGATTTCCGGCGGATATTTAAATTTTATTTAATTGCTAAGCAAAATTTTAATTAAATGCACAATAGTATAACAGCCTTAACTTAGGCGAGTTTTGGAGATTACAAAAATATCCCTTATCAATTGTTTTAACATTTAAGGCTATCTATACTCATATGTACAGTAAAAGTTTTGAAGGAAAATTTTATATATTTTTCGAGTTACACGCGATCATCAACGGCGTTAAAAAAAGATCTAACAGCAGAGATTCCGGCCATATCTGTGGATGAAACATAAAAAGAAAATCTCGGCTGGAAGATGTAGTCCGTACAATGATTAACGGTGTAAAAAAAAATACAAATGGCGGCGTTTTCAAAAATATTGAATTTACCAAAACTTTGACGTTTTTGCTGTGCAAATTCGACTTTTAGTCAAATCAAAAAACCGGCAGATCATTGTATGGAGAACTTTGTAGTAAATACAGCATATACAGATAAAAGTTGACAAATTATTTCAAATCATTTGTCTCCGAGTAATCACTGCAGCAAATTTGAAAAATTCTTTTTCGAGAAAAACGCGTTTAAAGATGTGAGTAGACAGACAACGTAAGCAATGAATACAGCTAAAAATTTTATCGTACTTCTGTGGCATGTATATTGGGGTGGGGTGGATTTATATGGAACTAAAGAACTGAAAAATTGCATATGCGACAATTGAACGCTCCAGCAAGGCACACATTTGGTACACACCTTAACTCTGTCTAAGCGGAATCAAGTTTATATACCTTACTTTGACAATTATGATTAGGGCAATGATACTGAAAAATCATTAACATGATAATTGAATACCCCTTGATGACATCTGTTTTCAATTTAAATATTGAACTTAAAAATTATAAATTCAGAGTGTTAGAGAACTAGAACATATTTCTTGAAAATTCTGCTACACTTAGATACTTTTTCCACTTTGATGATATTTTCTAGAGTCAAATAATGTCCTTGTGTTTAAAACAAGTAAATGCAAAGTAGCGCTGGGTTTAGTGATATGGCTGCAGAGTGTGTTGCTAAGCTCTTATGAAATAAACAGATTCTCCGTAGACGATAATGACATGTTATGAATAATATTTGCCAACGAGTTTCGCGCGTTTGATGTCATAACAATGGTTGTAAAGCAATGAAAATATGTCAAGCAGGCAATTTCATAATAGGTCGCTCGATATACAAACTCACAAATATACAAATGGATTACTTTTATATTTTCTCAACAAATTTACAATTGTGTGATTCCAAAATCGAGACATTTAAAGGAGATTTTACTTCACGGTCTTTGCTCAAATAAGTCTTAAGAATCAAAATTGTCGCTACTTTGACAACATCAATCTCCCTGAAATTCAAAGTGTTCTAGTCAAGAATGGTTGCATCATTGAACCCTTCCGTAAGTAGTAGCTCGGTGGTAATTGCTTGCAGTTTGGCGTCTTCAAACATTTTTGGTGATCTTCCACGTTCTTCATATCTCATATCAAAATTATTATCTCTGAACCGTTGAAACCATAGTTTGCATGTTGCTTCTGATAGAGCATGATCACCATCTGCCTCGACAAGCATTCCATGCGACTCTGCAGGACTTTTCTTCAAATGGAAACAAAAAATTTATGCTTTCCGCAAGTCATCTCTTCCCGGTACAAAATTTAACATATTCAACACCATGGAAGATGTTGTTTATTCAATCACTGTAAGGTTATTGAATATGTTTGACAGATGTTATGCCAACCAAACAGAAAAAAATCAAGAAAAAACGTTAGCTTCGGTTGTACAGAAGCTATAATACCCGCCACAGATAAAAAGGTTCATTACAATAACTAGATTTCGATCTAATTTCGTCAAGATATTACGTCAAATAAATATACAAGCACGTTATTCCGATTGTTAAGTTTAGTATAGTGGTCCGATATCGGCTGTTCCGATAAATGACCAATTTCTTAGATAGGACAGGTGTCAAATTTCAGATCGATATTGCAAAAAGTGAGGGACTAGTTTGCGTATATACAGACAGACGGACATGCCTAAATCAACTCAGCTCATCATGCTGATCATTTAAGTATATATTTTATAGGGTCTCGGACGTTTCCTTCTGGGTGTTACAAACTTCGTGGCAAACTTAATATACCCTGTTCAGGGTATAATTAAGGCTCGTTCACAACAAATCTTCCATGTTGGCACTTTATACCGGTACACCTGATAAGAATGTGAGATGAGATTTATTCTAATTTAATTTCTTGTGGAGAGAAATCATGATCTATGGTTTTCAATATCTACATCTATATAAAAATATTTACTTTTCATATCTCCTAATCATACTGCCGTTACCATCCCAAATTTAACTTGCTTTATCTAAGCCAAGGCAGGCTATGTCGAGAAATTTAAATGAAAAAATCTTCTTATGAAAATGGGATAAATAAAATCTGTTGGCAACTGTATTAAGTCGAGGAGATTTGCTTAAATATCCTTTAAAGATTTACCTCAATTTTAAATTTTTCAAAAAACATTACCATAGTTGTCTGTAATTACGCAGAGGCTCATTAGAAAATTAAGTTTATGAAAAGTTTAAATAAGCAAAATAGTCAGCAAATCAACGCTCACAACTGCCACAACTCAGAGCAAAGAAAGTTTGCTACAACTTAATTGTCGCTGTCTCAAGTTTGCTTAAAACAAGTTAAGTAGTCATTTTACTTGAAGAACTTGCCGCCACTTTTATCTTTCGTTAAAGAAGAAATGCCGAAGACACTCTCCTGACACACCCTTTATACGCGCGTACATGCACACACACATGCATACCTAAATGCTCGCAAGAAAGACAATACTTACCCAAGAGCACGAGCAGCGGAATGGTTGTCAAGCCGCCGCGTTGCCACTCTTCCAGTGAAACAGTGCCATCGGCATCATAGTCAATTTCCACCATCATATCTTGCAGAATCTGTGAGGTGGAAAGAAAGTAACACAAAAAAGATTAAGAAAGGTAATATAAGAGTAGAAAATATGTAAGCGGAATGTATGTGTGTGATAATACTTTATATGTAAATAAGTGCATACGTATGTATGTGTGTGTGAATATGCGTAAAAATGTGTATGTGTGTATGTGTTTGGACCCACACATGGATTTACGCAAACATACATATATGTACGTGTTCATATTCACTTATATTAGAGCAGCTGAAAGCACAACAGGGCGTATGAGTAACCTCGAGCCAAATATGCCCAAGCAGTTAAGCGACGCTCGGAGTCGTGTGAGTAGCAATTCAAGCGACTACATATGCACGTTTCTTGAGTGTTGAATGCTGTGGGCATGGCATAAGCCTGAAGAACTCTTCTTCTTCTTCTTATCCATCTTATTGTTGCTTATTTGCCGGGTAAGGGCTTATGTTGCCACGCCGAAAAAGAGTTAATAGCGGTTGGCTGTCAGGGTTAACGCGCTTTGCCAGCGCAAATATATTAAGAATTTCCATTGAAATTTAATTCCGTATAAACTGTTTGCGGACAGGCAATTGCAAAGAGGAGTTGGGAGAGGTCACAAAGAGCTCACTTGGCTGTTGCAGATGAAAAGTTGATGAAAAATAGCAAAGCGGCAGCTAAGTAACTGCATTGAAAGGCGATTGTGTGCGCGGTTGCACAGCTGGAAATGTAATTTTCAGCTCTATTGCGGCGCAATAAACAATATAAAAATATCCTTTCTTGCATAAAAAACACAATGATAAAAATGCTTTGATGTGCGCGAATGCTGGCGGAACTATATAACTTTTGCTGCTTGTTTTATTACATTTCTTTGTACTAAATTTGTTGTGGCGCTTTTGTAGCAAATTGAAGGTAATGTCTTGCATTGTAGTGTTATTCAAGTATTGCGCATATTTCACAAAAGCTTGTGAAAAATGATTTGCTTGGGTAGTTTTTAATAATTTTTTTTATTTATTTCTTATTAAAGCGTACATAGTATATATTGTAATAAAAATATTTATATTTTTGGAAATCTATGAAAGGTGGCAACTCTGATTTTGTCATTTATCATTGAGCTGCTGGAAACACGTATAGATTTACGAACCTAATTAGTCATAGATTTCAACTTAGGAGGGGGGTTGTTTTGAGATTTTGGTACACATTAGATTATCTTGTCAACAGTGCTTTTGCATTCATAAAATATTACTCCTTGCTGTTTACTTTTAGCTAAAGTCATCGTTGTTTTTTAACGGCCTACGATAAACACTATATTTAATCTCCTGCGCCTTTTTGGATTTATTAGATTATCAATTTATATTCCCTTAGAGCTCATCATATAGATGATGTCAATATAAGAAATTATAACCGCATCCATATGTTTACATCGTTATTAGAATTGTATGAAGTATGAAAAATTATAATATTTAAAAGCTGTGGCTTTTAAAAGGTTCCTACCTATTATTTCTATTTTGTTTGATATATACTACCAATTATATTTTTTTCTGTGTTCAAAAATTAAAAAGTATCTCTTAGCAAAAAAAAAACAGAAAAATGTTATTAATTGAGAGGAAAGGAAGTAGGTAATGAATGGCCACAAACACAAAAAAACAAGTTCCAGAGAAACTGAAAGTTTAAATTATTAACTGAATTATATTGTGAAAAAATAAACGTATTTATTAGAAAATGTCCCACATATTTTTACGCAACATATTTTTTTATTCATTTCACTAAAAACTAATAAAGTAAGTCAATTTCACGAATTAACAAAACTGTTTACGATTTTGTGTACAATTGTCTTCTTCTCATCTCAAAAGATTTACGTCACAAAATGGCGGTTTGCATAATCTTGTATTCGCGAACTTAGCTATTAGCTTTGCTATGAATATATGTGGTTCACATCTCATCTAAGGGTGTTTTAAATGACTTATGTACAACTGTTAGTCGAGTTGAAAGATTTATAATTACACAATTCTGCATTGAAATTACCGATTTTAAAAATTTAATTTTAATATTTTTCAAAAATAATTGGAATTAATTACTGATTGTTTAATTGAAGAAATAAAAGAAAGCAAAAAATTTCAATTGAAAATTGTAAATTTAATTGTTGATCCGAAATTAAGAAATAAAATTTGATTATGTAATTTAAAAATTCGGGTTACAAATAAAAACAAAAACTATTTATTACTATTTTTACCTATTTTGTAGGGCTATAAAAGAAAAAATTTACATTTTACATCTAATGAAACCTATAATTAAAAGAAATTAAATGTAAATAAGATAGAGAGTGTTAAACTATGTTGGAATTTTGTCCGGTTTTTAGGATACACATTTTAGTTTTTGATTTTTAATTCGATTTTGGGAATCAAAATTTTATTTTTAATTTACCAAACTGGTATTTGTACTTAGAAATTAAAAAATATTATTTAATTTAAATGTAATTTTATTTTATTTTTTTAATGCATTTTTTGCAACCTTGGTATTTAGTCATTATTTGTTAATAAAAATAATTTGTTATGAAAATATCAAAGTACCTGATATAACTTGTTTATATTGTTAGAAAAAAATTACACTTTAGAATGTGGAAAACTAGTTTTAAAAGATATGAGAAAATTCTCAAAGAATTCGAATTGAATTATTTAAAATTGCGAAATTTCATTTTCATTAGTATTAAATTTTTGATACCTCAAAAACTGAGGAACTAGTTCGGATGTATACAAACGGAGAGGCGAACGGACATGGCTATATCATCATTTATATGTATATTTTATAGGGTCGCCTACGTTTCCTCCTAGATGTTAGGAGCTTCGTGGCAAACTCAATAATCCCTGTTCTGGGCATAATAAATAATATATGTTAAAAAGCACATTACAAACAACAACTTAGCTGCGTGTTCCAATATAATCATATATGTTATACTATTTAATTCCTTCCATGCTCCGCTATGTACTCAGCTTTATATTATATGTGCATACTTGAAAATAGTTAATGTCTTCAACACAGTGGAATCACTTAGTTAAGTTGAACTTAAAATGTTAATAAAACTCACAGTTCAGAGAATATTTAACTGTATAAGTATATACATATATATATAAATGTGAGCTTATTAAAGAGTTTTAAGCATATCTGTTTTAAGCTTAAACCTTTTTTACGCTCGTTTTCACCTGCCCGCGCGCCAACATTTCAATTCATTTAATTTACTTTGATGCAGCTATATTTGCAGCCTACGGCCACAAAAGGTTGTTCATTATCATATCAAAATTGGTGAAATTGTCAAAGCGCACAAACGCACCTGTACTAATACAAAAAACAAGGAAATAGTTTGCAGCAAATCAAATAAAGTAAATTAACAGCCGCGTAACAAGCGAAATAATCAGCGATCAGCAGAAAAAGGGCGCATTTGTATGTGTGTGTGTTGCTGGGTGCCTTTGCGGTGCTTTGTAAATAAGCGCGTCGAATTTTAAGCATTGAGGCAGCTAGCAAACTCAGCTATAATTGGAAAAGTTTTATTGAGTTTGACCGCAGGTTGCGGTTTGCGTGGGCAAAGCAATCACACCAGCTGTTGCAAGGTTGTATGCGGAGGCATATGCATATGTATTTGTGTATGTGTGCTGTCAAATTTTCTGTGGCGGCCGAGGGTGCCGCCAGTGCTGTCGAAAATGAGGCCTGACATAGCCCTTAAAGTATTTATATCTGCGCAGCATTACCGTTATTAACACGTGTTTCCGTTATAATTTGCTTACTCAATGAAATAGTCAAAAAGAAAACAAAAACCCGCAATCAAATGGTATTTTAAAATACTTCTTGCAAGAGCACATAAAATGCAGCTGCCCCATTCGTACCCAAGTATGACTCGACTCGTCAGCAGTTTCCGTCTCAGAATTTATGATCGCCAAAAGTCACATTTGACTCATGCTATTTTATCGCACCCACTGACAACGTGTATGATTTGTTATATGGTTTGTATGATTATATGACATGTATTCACTTCAATTGGATTTTTGGTTGTGCTCCGCACCGATTTTATGACGAATTAATGTGCAGAAATTTATGACAGATGCTGCCATAAAATAAACATATATGTAGTTAACTATTATGACTATACCCTATATATGTGCATTTACGAGTAAAATTTCTACTCTATGATAATGAGGAATCGAAAATTTGTACATTCCGATATACATAATTTCCGTTAAAAATAAACAGCTTGATCTAAAATGAAAAGTTTTAAGGTATAAAGATAGAAAATAAAAAATATTTAAAATTCAGATACATCAAAATGAACTGGTGAGCTGAGGGCTATAGAAAGGGGTGCATTTGAGCATTTAGTGAGACGAGACAAGAAAAACACTGCAATAGTCAAGAAGTCTGAAACCAAAGTTGATAGAGAGCTCCTGACAATATACCCCTTAACCAAGCTTTAACCTATCCATAAAGAAGCTCACTGCTTCTCTCCTCCAGCGGCTTATACCTACAACTTCGTCGCAGGTATGTGGTCTGATAGCAGCTTTCGCGGCCATACCCCCCTGGCGATGTCTATAGGACATATACTATGTAGAATATTTGGAAGTTATTCTTTGCATATTTTAGAAATGGCTCATAATTTCAGAATTGAGTATTACAACTAGGCGAAATCGAAATCAACGTTAGATATGGTTGAGAAAGTGAAAAAAGAATAATAACTGTTGTAAATTTTTTTTGTTTAAGTACGGTGACTGATATAAGCTTTGAAGATCGGGACTCATTCCTCTTAGAATTAAAGAGAAGCCTTGGTGGAAGTCATCCAGAAAATACTTATAGGTATTTTGTAGAATACACTGCTCTAATTTCTTAAATCAAAGCAATAGTGAAATACTCGGAGACAGTAATAAGCCCGAGCCTCCAATCGAAGTTGGTAATTTAATGCTTCATTAATATACTATAAAGATGTTAGAGGGACCTGGAGATGTTAAATTACTGATGCTTTTCAAATATTACAGTAAAAGGTTGAGAGGATGGTTTCTTGAACTTCTATGCAAAACAATTTTTAGATTAAAAAATGCTTAACTGTTGAAATTTAAATGTACTTTGATCAAAGCCATTATTATTGGATAGTACTTACTATATACGATTTTATCGAGAGTATTTTATGAAAGATGCAGTCCCTACACCGATAATCTGATCTGAATCTTCTTAGTGTGACTTTAGACTTAGCTAATGCAATTTTTGAAAAAATACTCGAGAAAAATATATGTACGACTTTTAAATACTTTCTAACTTTAAAGCACGCGGAAGAGTTGTCAAAACTAAACATCATGAGCTCAGGCAAAAGGAAGAATCTCCTCAATCGGTTTGATGGTAAAGAAAATTTCAGATATATTCAGAATCTCTTTGAAATCGATAATATTGTGTAGTTTGTCCTATTGACGTACAGGTATTTTATTATTATAGCGCGTGTTCTTTTGCCACTCGCTTATAAAATTAAAACAGTGCTATTTTGGACTGTATATGGGTTTGAGAAAAATAATAATCTCTTAGAAATTTTCAATTATAATTTTTTGGTACGAGAATATTTTAAATATATATTTTTCGCCACTCACCGAATTTGAACACTTCAAAGAGACTTCAGTCGGTTTGTTTCACCTTAATTAGTTATATGCATTAAGTTTCTACACCATGCACGTGTCACGAAACTTTGCTCGGCTTAACAACACATTATATGTAATTCTGTATATCTAGCTATTTCTATGGGAACACAGTAAGGACAGTAAAGCCCCCTTTGTTAATACTTTACGTACCTAACTAATGTCTAGAAATAAGCATTTTGCAACTTAATTCGAACACATAATTAGGTGTGTGCGTACTTGAGGAAGTCCTTGCATATAAAGCGTTGTATCAGGCTTAGATATAGGGTGTCTGTTTAAAGAGTATAGAAGTTTTTTGATTTCAAATGAAATGTAGAAAAATCATGGAAGTGGGTCTAAAGGAGTGATATGTTCTATACTATACAAGAATGATCATTTGGTTGATTTATTTTCTGATAATGACTTCGATATGTAATCTATACCAGAAACTAATTCTTATATCCTGCATGGTATATATTAAGTTTGCCACGAAGTTTGTCACGCCCAGAAGGAATTGTCGAAGACTCTATAAAATATATTATAATGATCAGCGTGACGCTCTGTGTCGATTTAGCCATGACTTTCTGTCGCTCCATCCGTATATACGCGAATTAGTTTTGAGATATCAATTTGAAATTTTACACACGTCCTTTTCTTTCCAAGAAGCTGTTCATTTGTCGATACCACCAATATCGGACCATTATAGTATATATCTACTATACAAAGTAAACGGTCAAAATAAGTTCTGGTATGGAAAACTTTTTTGTTTGACCAGATATCTTACCGAAATTTGGCACTTATTGTTAAAGGCAACTATACAAACTCGCCGAAGTAATTGTCAAAATGAAGTTATTGTATGGGAACTTTTTTATTTGTGAATGTGTTTATAGCGAAGTCACACCCTTAAGAACATGTTTCTATTTTACAAAACTCACCCTATATGTATATAAGAAAACTTTTGACCGTGAGAACGCACTTCATTAATTTAACCAACAATTAGTAGCGGGAACAAAATGCATGCTAAAAAGGCGATTTGCTCATTTCGACAACGTCGTCATCATTAAACCGAAGACCATGCAATACGAATGTGTGCGGGTACAAATAGTCGTAGAAGATTTAATTACATTTATTGTCTTTTACTGTTAACTGCTATACTATAAAATACACGATAGTAAATAGTCGACCTGCAGCGTACTTAGCGAGTGAAATTTACAGTGGAAAATTTTACGATTTCATGTTTACGAGCCTGGGGTGCCTAGTTTAAGACGCTAACGAAACGATGAAATGGGAGTAATGACAACAATGACTTGATGGTGATGATGATGATAAGTGGCTTAATGCATGCCAACCAGCCACGTACATAAACAAGCAAATAAAAATGCAAAAATGGAGACAAATATATACAAAAGGAACGAAAGTACGAAATAATGCTGAGAAGTGAAGAAGGGTGAAGACATCTCTCGTGAAAATGAAGTGATTTGTATTTAAATGATTTGTGCTTATGTTATATTGTGTGGGTGTGTTTGAAATATTTTTACTCTTAAATGAAGTCTTACTTACCGGCCGCAATTCGCTAACATCCCAGCCAAGATATTCGGCAACAGCCATCATTTGATTAACAATCGCATCCATTTCGGCGGTATCCAGGACACCATTGCCATCGGTATCATATAGACGAAACATAACTGTGGGGTTTAAGTGAGAGAAAACATATAAAAAAACCGAATAAAAAGTAGACAATAAAATACTCTATCGAGTAAAAATAGACAGGATTGGCGAAAATGTGAGCAAGAGCACGAGGAAATATGCACACGCTTGTATTTGTGAGATATTCTGTATATGCAAGCCTCTCCGAAAATGTGGGTATTTTTTATGCCTTTCATTAAATAAAAGAAAAGAGAAAACAATAAAAAATTCTTAGCTCTGATTTAAGCTTCTTCTTCTGCTACAAAAAGCGACTAACAGCGCCTTAAAACATGTTGCAATTTACATTTTCCTACACTCTTGCATGTCATTTAGTGTAGCATACATTTGGACGTTCATTTAGTTTATATTAGTCCGTCTTTCAGCAAATTTTTCTTTGTAGTTCTATTAAGTTATAGTGACTTGATGTGCATGCTGAATTTTTTCTTTTATTTTCCACTCTTTTTTGCAGTGAAATTAGTCCTCAGAAAAGTTTCGAAATTTGCAGTCACTTTTCTTCCAGAAATATATTTAAGACGTACATAAAAGTTGAATGGAAATTAGTTTGCTTGGTATGCTTCGAGAAATTCATTAAAACTAAATTTAACTCAGTGTATTCTAAAGAAAGTGATTCAAATATTATATATAGTGTGGCCAACAAAATTTAAAATATATTGCATTAACTTTCATGAATGTCCAACTGCTGCATAACTACGAGAATAGTTTTTCGACGATAACTACATTGATAGTATATGTGTGACACACCTGCTATACTTTATTAACAAGTCATACTACTACTTTCGGGTACAGTAAAAAAATTCGGGATCTCTTAATTTTGAGACCAGTTTGCGATTTTAATTTTGTTAAAATTTAATTAAATTTTTGTAATTTAGACGAAAAGAGTCGTACCACCAGGAATGTATTCTTGGAAATATATTCGGGATCCCGAAATTTCGGGGTCAGTTCGGTAATCCATTTGAATTAAATTTGAAAATAATTGGTGTAATTTAGAGAAACTCATCATACACTTATTACAGCTTACAGTTATTCTATTTTCTGTAGTAATACTCTGTATAGGTACCTTGGTTTAATAATAATACATTGTACTAAAAACATGCAAATATTTTCTGTCTGAACATAATTTTGAAAGAAATATATGATATTAAATTTATCTTACACTTTTGTTTGGATGAAAAAATGTAATAATCTAAATATATGGCAACCCTCATCATAACTTCCGTCAAAAGTCTTTCTAAAAACCTGTTTGGCTTGATATCCATATTGTAAGATTTAATTTACTTTTTCTCTTGAACCAAATATTTCAAATAGGTGGGAACTCTCTTTATAAAAGGCTGCGTCAGAAATCCTTTTCTAACCTGTTAAGTTCTATGCCAGATTTCTTATAGTTGTTTTATTTTAATTGAAAAAAAAAAATTGTAAGCAGATGGCAGCCTTCTTAATATATTTTTAACTGTAACTCTTTCATATTCATATTATATTGTTTATATTCTGGTGTTTTTTAATTTAAAATAATTTTAAAATAATATCCGAGAAGATCTCTTACTTCGAAATAAGTTTTTTTGCAAAATGTTTGTTGTCGAATCTTCAAAAACACCAAAATAACCGATAAACTTGAGTTTTCGAAAAACTTTAAGCTTAATAGGAACGTGAGAGAAATGTTGAAACACCTTCTACCTTTAATATTTTATTAAGTAAATCTCTTTACGATACTCCAAATCATCAATTTCGAATTTCAAAAATATCAAAATTTCCCACTATTTTCTTTCTCCTTTCCATTATATAACCACTCATTACTTTGATTGATTTTGTGGGTGGTGATTATAAATCACTCTTGTTCATCGAGTCTTTTTCCGTTTCTTAACTATCGCCACTACTTACATTCAAGCTTATCTTCCGGTCGTCCAGCTTCCAGCAATGACAAATAACAGACGACATCCTTGAGCGGCACCTTCAGCGTCAACGGATCAAAGTGTGAAAGTTTGCGTGCCAAAAGTTTGATATCAGCTGCAAATGAAGAATAAAGCGAAAACATAAATATATAGTTTAGAGGAAGAAGAATAAGAAGACGGAAAGGCGTAAATTTGTAAATGCAGAAAATATCAGCGTGTTAAGTCTTAAACACTGCGCAGTAAAATGATGTGCTGAGCGCGCGTGAAATTTAAAACCAACCAAAGGATGAGCACTTTGAATGCCCTGAATGACTAGCATATTTCTTAGCTAGCTCACAGCGTTCCAGGCATTACAGTAATCCAGCAGAATGGTAGTTAGGAGTTGCCGCACTCTCGCTACACCCAGCAATCTTCAAAGTCATTTAGCTGTACAAGAGTTATCGTGATGAAAGGGGAAGAATGCTATCATATTCCACTCTCACCACTCTCCACTACTTGGCATTAGCTTGCATTTAGTATATACATATAATATATATTTGTATATATGAACATTACTGTATACGAATTTGTGAGCCAAGCGCAGTTTCTCACTCCACTTACAAAATTCATGCCATTAATTTGTTCAGTCAGTCCACTCCTTTGTCTCCTTTCACTCACTGACAAACTCACTCACTTCCAGCGCTGCCATTTCATCGTTTCATCATCGCTTCGCTCTCATATAAAATTACATTTCATTTTGCAAATTTGTTAGTGTTTGCTTCAAATTGTAATTCATCATAGTCAACATTTAATTAAATTTATTTGCTTTCAAATACCCACAAAAAGTCCATTGATTCGGACGAAAAACGTTATGCGTCATTGAGTAGCCGAAAAAATTTTAACCCTTTCATTGACTCAAGCGCAGGAAAAAGGCTCTTATTTGTGCCGTTATTCTCTATTAATGAACTGGTAGTTTTTGAAATTTCAGTGGAAATATTTTATTACATACAAGTTTGGTTAGAAAAAATTTCCTTTACGAAATTAACCAGATAATTAGCGCATAAATTATTTTAAATCCTACAGCAAAAAGTATGAATTGAAACCTTTGTTGATGTGTTAATACATTAAGGTGGTTTATAGTTATAAAAAAAATATATAACAAAGTACAGAGGTTATATTTTTCAGGGTGTTTTTTTTTTATTAAAAAAAGCAATTTGTTTGAAGTATTGAAACCTGGTCAAAGGCTGTTATTCCCTTTTCCGCTTTGCTAGAGCCAAAAGAAAGTTTTACGCAGAAAAAAATTCTCTGTGGGCATTTATCAACACAGGAAACATCTCAGCTGTAAAAAATATTCCATTTTTCTGCTATTATTTTAAATTCCCCTCGTATTAATTTCTTTAATATTGCAATACTACCACTGAAGCTACTTTTACCTAACTTCACGGAACTTAAAAAAATAACTCAGTTTGTTTTAGTGCTTGGTTTAAGCGATTATTCGTTTGCCACTCGCTTACAAATAACGGGGATATACTTGTCACTCATATTACCTTAAAGTTATTATATATAATAAAAATATTTAAAACTTTTGTATTAACACTTTATTTACAGAACCTCAAAGTTTATTTGAAAAATTGAAATATCCAAGTATTTGGTTTTTAATTTTTATCTTTTACAATTTGTATATACTGAACCGGGTGTATTCAGTTTGGCATAATGTTTTCAACACCAAAAAGAAAACATCGGAGACCCTATAGAATATATATATAAATGATAAGCGTGGCTAACTTGTCTCTGAGTTTTTGAGATATAACTCTGAAATTTCGCACGCGTCCCATTCTACCTAAGAAGCTGCTCATTTGTCGGAAATGCCGATCAAAACAAAACGAAGATCTGTTTATACCCTTTTTATTGTTTTTCTTATTTTTTTAAAGAACTTGGTGTAAACTTAGCTTTTGATGTCCTAAACATATTGTATATTTTTGATTGTATATAAACTACTGTAGTAAATTTTTGTTTGTATTCAATACATAGAGGTTCAGCATAGCTCCAAGCTCTTCGCAATATCCACTTCGGTTGTCAAGGAGAATGTCTCAATTTTTGTGAAATAAACCTTTGTTCGAACAGTCAGTCGGAAGGGTCATAGGATGCTCAAATTTCTTGTAATCTTTTTGATATATAAATATAATTCAATGTCAATATTGTTTTCATATTACAAACATCCGTTATGTGAACAAAACTATTTTGCTGTGTGAAACGTATTGCTAGAGTATAAGACTATCTATAGCTTTTACATAATATTGACAGAAAATGCAAGTATTATGCTTTAAAAATAACTGTTCAAGAAACAGAAACAAATATACGTATTTTGCCCTATCTATCATAACATAAATATTGATATATTTATTTAGAAATCATGCTCATATTGTTAAGCACATCGTATACTCTTAAGTAGAAAATTATGTCTTCGCGCCACTATGCCACACTTGTAGTCATAAAAATACCTGCGTACATCCTTTATCGATTACGCTTGTTTTCGGAACTTCCTCTTTTAGGTAAATACTTCCTGTTATATTAGTAAATACATGTACTTCCTGCTTGCTTCCAACGAACTTTGTGACTTATTTAGTGCGTAATAGCTTACATTCTTTTGAAGATGAGGAGGCAACTTCAGAATAAAATATTTTCGTGGAAGGGTCGAAAAATGTGTGTTTGGTTGTTTACTGCTAACTTTCTCTTTTTTATTCATGATTTTGAATGTACTATTTATTGAATAGCTTGTCTGAACGCTTCGTTGGGAAAAATTTATGTATTTTGCTCTTTAATCTCATTCGTTATGCATTTCCTCATACACATGTTCTTCAGATATGCTTCGCTATTATTCATTTATTCACCTTTTTATATTTTTACACATACATCTATATGTATATATATGGCTACAATTTTAATATACATACATATGAGTTGCATTATTTATTTATGTATGTTGCTTTTATATGCTCACATCCACACATAAAAATATATTATATAAACCAATCCCTATTTATTGCGAGCATATCTGCTCAGTATTACTTTTGTCCTCGAATTACTGGGTTATCCGTTGCGCGTATTATAAGCGAATATATTATATTAAGATTCATAATAGAGGGAGGGTGTGGTCGTCACAAAGGTAAATGCCTAGGTGAAATGTCCGTAACTATATGAACGGTTTAAGTAAATGCCTATAAGCCGCTTAAGTGGGAGTAAGTAAACATATTTTGAAAAAGTAATTTCGTTGACTGGGCGCACAATCGCACATACATACATTGATAAATGTACACACACATATCCCAAAGCTTTCGTATTGTGCTGTTTGAGTGAGAAAGAGGTTTGGAAATAAATTGTGTAGGCATGAGCACTACTTCGTGTCCATGTGTTACTAAGCTTCGAACATTTATTCTCATATCTATGTATATTAGCATGTTCGTTATTTTCCAAATTAGTTGTTTTTTAGCAAATGCCTTATAAGTTTCAGTTTTTGCTCTAAATAAAGAAATCAACTTAAACCAGCTCTGAATTTTCAATTTAAACCTTGGCTTAATCGTACTTCCTTTCCCATATATAAAACGTGGAATTTGATATTTTGCATTAAACAAGTAAATCTACAATTTTGAAGTTATATCCTAATACAAAATGTTCCACTCTACATTACTTCAAAAGTTATCTGCAGTAGAATTTAGACATCAAATGATCTGAGCATTCATATTAGTGATTTATATTGTACATTCTGTGGTGCTCATACGCCATGGTGTACTGGACGAACACAGTTCACTTGATGCACAACTTTGACTGGGTATAAGTTTGAAAGGAATATTTTTGAAAGATTTTTTTTTTGAGTTAAACATTTTTTTAATAAATAGAGTATACCATAATCAAGTCAGAGATTGTCGTGATATTTTTAATTATATATGAAGCATGGCTCTTGAAAAAACATGCCCAACATATATATATATATGCAGCGACATACCTATAACGCAAAATGTTTTCGGATACATTTTTTTATGAAAGCTTATTTGTTTCAGAGAATATATTCTACTTGATTTTGGTCCTTGGTTCATCACATAATCTCAGCAAAATAACTTTAACAAGGTCAAATGGTAGCATGACAAGTGCTTAAGCTGAGGGTAAGAGCTCTGATTTTCGACTTTATTAAGTTTATTAGAAATGTATTTTACCTAGTGAAGACCATTTGTTGGATACACTAACTGATAGATGAATTTTCATTGATTATTTTGAGCTAACGTAACAAGCTTTACACAATCACATATTTAAGAGCGAATTCTCTAGATTTAAACAACCTGATTGATAATTATGCCAAATTTGATCTACATATCTTTTAGCTCATCGTGTTTAATAATTTAAACGTTTACAGTTTTTTTAATTTTCAATTAATTTCAGTCGCAGCTTCTTCGATATCACCATTGCGGCTACAAGTTTCAAAATAGATTTTCCGCATTTAATAAGAAAGGATGAGAGTACCAACACAACCCTCCAAGAGTAAACACCAATCAAATATATGTATTCTATAGCGTACTTGACATTTATTTTTAAGTCTTGTGGGTCATTAAAAACTTTGCATTGCTTTGGTGGTGTTTTTGTTAAAAGTAGTTTTCCTCTGGATATTTCACATGCCACTATAATTACAGTTTCAGCTAATTGTTGTTGCCAGTTTCGCTGCCATGCACATAACAGGATAATAAAATATTCAGTAGACCAGCATTCACATGATGTTTGCTTTTGTTATTATTGGCTTGAAAATTTGTGTTGTTTAGTGTTTTATTGAGGCAGTGAGTTTGAAGTGTTGAAGGGAGGCTACAAGCTAATGGCGCTCTTTGTTTTGGTTAAGTTAACTAAAATTTACGATTAGGAAAATTAGGATTAAATATAAATATAGCCCCTATATGGGTGATATTGTTCAGAGGGTATGCCAGAATTTTATAGTAATTTTTTCTAGCCCGGAATTTTTTTTAAAAACTAAATCATTTTATAAAAAAATGTTTTTTTCTAATTTTCACAACTTTTTAATTTCATATTAGCTAGAAGGCTACTTTTATCTTGTTTTAAATTTAGATTAGAGCTGCCAATGCTTATCATTGGGCA